TGTGTGTGTGTGTGTGTGTGTGTGTGTGTGTGTGTGTGTGTGTGTGTATGTGTGTGTGTGTGTGACTGTGGAGCATGGGTAATAGTACGAGCTTAGTACTGGCTTGCCTGGACCTAGGTCGTCACTTCCCACTTACCCCAAACCAACTGTTTTAACTTTCTCAGACCTCAGTTTCCCCAGCTGTGACTCACTGTCAGTCCATAAAGCTATCGTAAACATTAAGCAGGTGACAGAGAACGTGTACAGCTTGGGGGCTGTGTCTTAGCACACTGAGAACGCAGAGCACTTGCTGAAAGTTATTATTACTCTCGCTATAGACAGGGCAGGAGAGGGCCTTGGGTGTTAAGAAAACTCTAAAGAAAGTTCAGGACTGGGTACCATGAGCCAAGCTCAAAGGACAGTGTTCCGGGGGACGGAAGCCAGCCTCGGCTTCATTTCTGAGGACGTGTGAAAACACACACTGCCCAGATCAGACTTAGAACTAGGTAGGTTATAGTTATAGCGGCTGTCGTTGGCACAGATCCTGTCACACCCCAGGCAACACTCGGAGCTCTCACGGGACAAGCTCATATGAACACTCCAAGCAGCCCAAGAGGTATTGCCATGTTGCAGAGAAGGAGATTGAGGTACAGATGGTTGGCAGAAAAGATAGGATTTAATTGCAGCTCTTTGTGCTGGGTTCCTCTGTGTGTGTGTGTGTGTGTGTGTGTGTGTGTGTGTGTGTGTGTGTGTGTGCGCGCGCGCTCAGGTGTGTATTTCACATGGATGTATATGTGTGTGCAGGTAGATTCATCTCTGCAGCTCACATGGCAGTCAGGGGTTGATGTTAGGACATGCTTCTCACAACCTTACCACCTTATTGCTTGACACAGAGTCTCTCTGTGAACCCAGACAGATGTCTGTGACCCCGGCGCTGGGGTGACCGACTCACACTGCCACACCCGGCTCTCACGCTGGTGCTGGAGACCTAAAGTCATGCTTACAGGGCAAGCCCTTTACCCACCGGGCTGCGTCCCAGCCCCTGGGCTGGGCTCTTAACTACAGCTTCACACGCTCTCCATCCATGCCTCCTTTTCTGGTCTGCCCATGGACAGGGATAAACTGTCCCTGCTTTATGGTCAACTCCAGCATCCGTGGGTGGGGGTGACAGTACCATGAGGTGTGTAATGAGTCACAGCCAAAACACACAGATGTCAGGGGTCGGGCAGGGAACACACACGAATGCAGTGGCCTGTTGAGGAAACACTAGGGAGACATGGGACTGAGGAAGCATTGGAAAGGGAGCAACCATCCCTCAGGATGCTGACCCCATTTTTATTTTTGGTTGTGAGCCTAGCCTTTAACGGCTGAGCTATCCCTCCAGCCCAGGGGTCAGAAATCTGATTTAGATGTTGACAAGTACACTGTTTAAACCCGTGATAAAACATAAAACGATGACCTCACCTGCGGTTGGAACCCGTCTGCTTGGCAATCTGAGGTGGACGTTTCGATCAAACATCAGATTGCCGGGGCTGGAGAGACCCACAGCTCATTGGTGAGGGTTGCCTCCTGCTCTTAACCAGGAACTGGGTCTAGTTCCCAGCAACCACACTGGGTAGCTCACAACTGCCTGCAACTCCAGTTCTGGGTCATCAGACACCTTCATCTGGCCTCCACTAACACATATAACACACACACATAAACACGCACACACATAAACACATACACACACATACTTAAAAAATAAAATAACTTAAAAAAAAAAGATGTTTGTCCCTAAGATATCACCACCCAAGATTTTTTTGAACAAGGGATCCAGAAGTCATCACACATGAGGATTCCCACTATTCATAATATAAATGTTTCCAGATGGTGTCAAGGTGTGTGTGCATGCTTATGGTTGAAGCTCTCCTAATACAAATAAAAGCTATCAATTGGAGGTCACCTCCCCATTCTTTCTTCCTTAGGGGTTGTGTCTCACAATGGTTAGAGCATGGATTTTGTCATCAATTTTACCAGGATTCAAGTGCTAGTTCTGACCTGGGTTGGTGATGTACACCTTTAATCCCAGCAGTCAGGCTGTAGAAGCAGGCACTTCTCTATGATTTCAAGGACAGCCCGTTCTACATATCGAGTTCCTGAGCTACACAGTGAGATCTTGTCTCAAAATAAAACCTCCGGCTCACACGCAGACCATCTGGGCAAGCTGTTAAATTCTCAGACGTCTTTTTTCCCTACCTATCTGTAAGGTCGGATTCCTTTTAGATACATTTCTGTCCGAAGCTTTTGACGAAAACAAAAGAGGGTTTCTAGAAGTTAGAATCCCAAGAGGAAACTCAAATAACTTAGAGCTCTTTGCAAGGGTGAGATGAGGAAGTGTAAGGCCAGCCCAGGCTACATACTAAGACCCTGCCACAGAAAAATGTGTTGTTCTTTGTGGATGAGAGACACAGGCGGGGGGTGGGGGGGGGGGGGAGTGGGCAGAGCAGCCTATAGAGAAAGAGATCAATTGAAATCTTCTAGTAAGCGGAATAATAGGGCTGAATTCTCTGTGATCCCTTAAATAAAATATCCCTGCCCTACTTTATGGGAATTGAATGGCCACATGAAACTATTAAACAGGGGTCCCCAAGCTTCACACCACCAAAGAATGACCTGGAAAGGTTTATAGGTAGTCTTATCCAAAACATGCCCAGAGGATTCCAACTGGGGAAATCAGATGTGAGCCTGGGGATCTGCAATGTTTCAGCTCTGAACACCGACCCAGCGTTTAAGAGACTCCTTATGGTCCAATCCTAGCAGCCTTCTTCCTCCAAAGTCCAGAGGAAAAGGCACACTAAGGGTAGCCCTCGGCACAGTGGTCAGTTTTCCTTTACATCAGCAAACTCACTGCCCTAGTTTGCTCTAAGTCAATGCCAAGGAGGGGAGTAGGGTTACGGACATGTGCCTGTCCCCACGGCAGGCCCTGCTGGAACAATCTGGAAGCCAGCAAGGACTTCATGGAAGGGAAATCTGACAGCAGAGGACACTGAGGCTGGGTGAGGCAAAGCCATGAAGGTAGATTTCTGAGTTTAATTCAAAACTCCTCTCTAAAGAAAAGGAGAGATTTTTAAAACCGTA